GCTCGCTGGGGGCCAGGACCAGGAGACACCATGGGGCTTGTTCCCAGGCTCTCTGGGTAGATCTGGTTCCCCTGCTGTCTGACTGCTAGAGGCCCTGGGTGAGGAAACTTGGCTTTGGGACCAGACCACCCACCCCTGAGTCCAAGGGCTGGCAGGGGTTGCTGAGCAGAAGGCAGGACAGGCCCCCACCCCCTTTCTGTATTTACCTTTTGAACTTTAATTGTGAGCTTATCTTTAAGGGAAAGAATATTCCATAAACTTAAAATAGGCAAGGCTTAATTAATAGCATGCTTTGTTCTTCTGATCCTTATCTGTTCAGGAAGACACACCCCTTTTCAGTTTTGTGGGTCAAGGTGACTGCCCCTGGGGGCTTACCAGCAGCTGTTCCATTTTCCACTTTCGAACTCTGGTTCCCTTTGGTTTTTCCCTTCTCCTGTGTGTGGGAGGGTTTTTCTCAACTTTTTAGCCAAGACCTTTTCTATTTATTCAGTTGCCAGTATTATATGTTATAATTATTTCTTCTTATATGATTAATAGCTACTGTTCACTGAGAACCTACTATGGGCCAGGCATTCTGTTAAGGGCTCCTATCACCCTAGTATGGTGGATCTTCTAATTATTACCATTGCACAGATGAGGCAACTGAGGCCCAGAGAGGAGAAATGACTTTACCGAGGCCACACAGCTCTACAAAAGTAGAGCTAGGCTATGAATCCAGGGCTATATGCCCCCAAACACCCATGACAAATATTTATTGAGCATTTAGCTGTGGGCTTCAGGGTCTCACCATGCTAGCTTGTAAAACATGTCCTTTCTGTTTTTCTTGTTTAAAATATGTCTTTTTATTTTTCATAATTCTACAAGGTATGTACAATTATTCTATCCATTTCACAGATGAGGAAACTGAGGCTCAGAGAGATGAATTCATTTACCCAAAATCACACAGTATTTTAATGGCAGAGTGCGATTCGCACCAAGTGGTATCTAAGAGGTTCAGAGGCAAAGTACTAGATGAGAAACCAAAAAAAAAACAGATTTTGGCCCTCATTGTGTAGGCAAATCACCTAACCCTACTGAACTTTAGCTTCTCATCTGCAAAATGCTGGACACTATTTTCCCAACTTCTTGTGGTGGTTGTGAGAATAAGTGGGTGGGAAGTAATGGTTATAGAGAAACTGTCCATCAGGGCCCAGGTTTATAGGTCTTATCCCAGTTTTGGATGGAATTATAGTGAATTTTATCTTTTTAAAGTTCTCTTCTGAGTTGTCTATCTTTTCCACAAAAAGTGTGTTTTTCTTCCACAAACAAAAAAAATGTTTATTAAATTTTTTTTGTATTTTTCCAATTTTAGTGAGAAATAATTGATGGACACCAAATTTTTTTTAATGCTATAGCTTTATAGGATAGCTTGAAATCATGAATTGTGATGCCTTATGTTTTGTTCTTCTTTCTCAGGATTTCTTTGGCTATTTGGGATCTTTTGTGGTTTTAGGAGTGTATTTTTCTACTTCTGTAAAGAAATGCCATTGGAATCTTTTTTTTTTTTTTAAAGATTTTATTTATTTATTTAACAGGGAGAGAGACAGCGAGAGAGGGAACACAAGCAGGGGGAGTGGGAAAGGGAGAAGCAGGCTTCCCGCTGAGCAGGGAGCCTGGTGCGGGGCTCGATCCCAGGACCCTGAGATCATGACCTGAGCCGAAGGCAGTCGCTTAACCAGCTGAGCCACCCAGGTGCCCCGCCATTGGAATCTTGACAGGGATTGAACTGAGTCTATAGATGGCTCTTGGTAGTATTGACATTTTAACAGTATTAGTTCTTCCAGTCCATGAACATGGAATATCTTTCCATTTATTTGTGTCTTCTTCAATTTCTTTCACTGATGTCCTAACAGTTTCTGGAGTAGAGATCTTTCACTTAGTTAAGTTTATCCCCAAATACTTTATTTTTTTTTCAAGATTTATTTATTTGAGAGAGAGAGTTCGCGTGCACAAGGGGGAGGGGCAGAAGGAGAGGGAAAGGATCCTAAGCAGACTCCCCACTGAGCACTGAGCCAGAGGTGGGCCTCTATCTCAGGACCCTGAGATCATGACCTGAGCTGAAACCAAGAGTCGATGCTTAACTGACTGAGCCACCCAGGTGCCCCTTTATTATTTTTGATGCTGTTGTAAATGGAATAGATTTCTTTATTTCTTTTTCAGATAATTCCTTGTTAGGTGTCGGGGTTTTTTTTTTTCCTCGTTTAATCCTTACAACTGTGAGGTGGATGATCATATGCATTTTAGGAGAGAGGTGATTACAGAGAAAAGCAGTAACAGACGTAGTTGGGAAGCCACTGAGAAAGGAATTGAACCCAGTTTTGTGTGACCCCAAAATCTCAGTTCCTGTCACTCCATGGACAGCACGTTCTCTATCCTGAGAGGGTACTGTGGGCTTCAAGTAAATTATTAAAAAAGACTTTAGCTATCATCCCCCCACCTCCCTTTCCCCCAGCCCCAGACAACCACGAATTTGTTTTCTGTCTCTATAGATCTGCCTATTCTCAACATTTTATATAAATTCAGTAATACAACTTGTGGCCTTTTATGTCTAGCTTCTTTCACTCAGCATGTTTTCAAGGTTCATCCATGTTGTAGTGTATATCAGTACTTCATTACTTTTTCTGGCTCAAAAATAGTTTATTATATAGATATACAAGTTTTGTTTATCCATTCATCAGTTAATGGACTTTTGGGTAGCTTCCACTTTTGCTGCTATGAACATTCGTGTACAAGTTTCTGTGTGGACACTAGTTTCATTTCTTGCGTAAAATGGAGTGAAATTGCTAGGTCAAATAGTTGCATTATTTTCTATAAACGTCAGCTCTATAGCCTTCAAAGTAGGAACTACTACGTTCACAGCTGAGCAAACCGAAACTCAGAGAGGTATATAACTTGCCCAAGGCCACAGTGAGTAAATGGTGGAGCAGGGCTTGGAACCCAGGCAATCTAGCTCAAATTCCACGCTCATCCTGCCTCAGGGTCTCAGAACTTTTGTTTTACCCAAGAGGTAATCTAATCCACCAGCTACTGAATCTCACAAAACCGGGCCAGGCTCCTTTGTACACAGGTAGCCCAGGCAGGAATGGAATCTGAGGAGCCCAGTGGGGGCTAGCCAAGTATCTTATTCATCTCGTGGGGTGCCCAAGGCTCTGGGGAACTGAGAGGAGGCATAAGGTTAGGTCTTTTGAGGCCTCCCCAAAATTTAATCCATTTTTGTGATAGTTTCTCCTGGACTAAGACTGCCTTAAGGATCAAATAAACATGAGCTCCAGAAGCCAGTGTAGTGGGTGGCTAGAACATGGGCTCTGAAGGTCAACTGTGGGGGAGGGAAGAAGCCCCCATCACCCCTTTGATCCCCATTTGCACCATATCCCTGCCCTGAGGGCTATTCAAGAGCTGATTTGTCAGGTTCCTCCAAAGACGAGTTTTGAGAGAGTGGAGAGTGGGTTAAGACATCCTAGTGTAGGACTCCAGAGGTGCCTTGAGGCAGGAAACATGTCTGTGGGAGAAAGCTAGTCCAGATCCTTGCCAAATATAGGGGGGAAGTGGGACCAAGAGGGGATACTCTAAAAGTTACCCCTGTGGGGTCTGACCCTGGGGGCTGGGGAAGGAATTATGGGGCATTTAAATTTCTCACTGATGTTCTCCATTTTGGTATCCCATTTTGTTTCTTTATCTCTGTTCTAACTAAATAATTGAGCTGTGGGTAGTTCAGTCTGCAATTCTCATTCAGGACCCTGGGTGTGTTTTTGTTCACTGCTGCACAAAGCTCATTGCCTGGCACGTAATAGGAAAGGTTGTCGGGTAAAATGCAAAAATCCCAGTTAAATTTGGATTTTAAACAAAATGATTATTTTTTTCATATAAGTATGTCCCCTTTGTTTATCTGAAATTCAAATTCAACTGGGCTTCCTGTATTTTATCTGCTACATCTGCCAACCATAGTAGTAGGGTCTCAAAAAAATATTTGCGGAATTTGCCTTGGCTCTGCCCTAAACTTGCGGTGTCACCATTTGGCCAACTCTGCGACCCTCTTTGGGCCTCACTGTCTCTGTCTGAAAAGTCGGGAGGTCGGACAGCGACCTCAGCGCAGAGATCGCCAATGTAGGAAAAGTGCTGGGTGAACTGCCAAGGAGCAGAGAACGAGCTCCGGTCGAGCATACACCTCCAGACTGGGCACCACGCTCGACTCTCCCCACCAACGCGGGGGAAGCCCCGATGCCGGCCCGGAGTCGCTGGGGCGGGGCCGAGGCTGTCGCCATGGATACACGGGTAGCTGGAGCCCCTCCCCCACAAGGCCACGCATTTCCGCTGTGTTGGAGCCTTCTGATTGGGCGGCCGCCTGGACGCTACCACCAGCCCTGAGGCCGCAAAGGGGTGGGGGCGGGGTGTTGTCCTCGTGGGACTCGTGCCTTGAAGAGCGGTGCTTGTGGCCTCTCTAGGGGAGAATGGGTTCTCTGCCTCACAAGGAGAAAAAGACTGGGGCTCAGGTCCGAAGAGTGTGCACTCCTACTAGAGCTTATGTTCATGCCTCTCCCTGAGAAAGGAAGAGGGGGCGGGAAAGTCAGCAACGCCCCCTCGGGAGCCTATTCGGTCCCAAGATCTGGAGCACCGGAAGTGCTGGCGACGTGTCAGTGCGCCCTACTCTAAACCTTCCCTCCCAGGCCACCTTTCCTCTTCAGCTGCGGGATTCCGGGGCCGCCTGGGCGCTGCACCCCGCCGCTTCCGCATTGAACCGCCGCTTCAACCGAACTCTCAATCTGTGCGCGCGCTCCCTCTCGAGCCTGATGGTTGGGCTGGCGCCTGGGAGTAGCCACGCCCTTTCCCTCGCCTGGCAGCCAATGGACGGTCGTTTCTCGGCGGGGTGATGGGTAATTAATGAGGGTCGGGCGCTGATTGGCTGCAGCGTCGAGGGCGGGGGCTGGGCGGCGGGGTAGGTTGTTCCTGAGGTGGGAGGCGGCACCCGTGGCTGAGAAGGAGGCCTGAGAGCGACATGTCCCCGGCGGCCGAGGCAGAGCGGCCCGTGGCGCTGTTTTTCTGAGTCCGGGGCGGCCTCGCGGCCGGCTGAGGACGAGGGTCGGCGGGGGCTGCCCCCGCTGTGGTGGCCGCCATGCTGGGGGCCCGGGCGGTTGAGGGAGCCGCCGTGGCGCTCCTGCGACTGCTGCTGCTGCTGCTGCTGCCGGCGCTCCGGGGGCCGGGGCTCGGCGTGGTCGGCTCGGCGGGGGCCGGGCTACCCGAGAGCGTCATTTGGGCCGTCAACGCGGGCGGCGAGGCGCATGTGGACGTGCACGGGATCCACTTCCGCAAGGACCCTTTGGAAGGCCGGGTGGGCCGAGGTGAGAGCCCCTCAGCCGAGCCGTGGGATCCGGGGCCTGCCGTGCTGGGAGCAGCCGGCGGAGGGCTGCGGGCCCTGAGCCCCCTCCTCGACCCTGGAGCCACGTCTCTGGAGCCAAGTCTCTCTCTCTGCAGTTTCCTCAGGGACCCGGTCCGAGTTCAGAGCCTGGCGCTGGCTCGAAGCTACGAAGAACAATTGAGGCAGAGTTGGCGAGAAGTTATATTTGGACCTCACATCCTGCATTTTCTTAACCCCTCACTTCCACCCGATCTGGGAAAGTAAAGACGAGGGCGGCCTCTTGCCACCTCGAGGCCTCACGGGTTGTAGGTTATCAAGAGTCCCAGGCCTGGGTGGTTTTGCTCTCCTAACAAGACAGTTCCTGGTAGATTCCTGCCATCCCAGAACCGACCCGCTTTTCTTACCCCTTCTGCAGGAACGGGGCTTGATTCTTAGCCAGCATAGGAAGGGATCTTTGAAGAGGATGGGCCAGGAAAGTTTGATTGTGGCCTCCTCCCGCCCCCCTTTTAGAGCTAGGAATATGTGCGCCTAAAGGTGGAAGTTGAGGCCACCCCAGAGGGTGGTTATTTTGAAGCCATTCTGCACGTGAGGCTGATAGAGTGTCAGCTGGGTCAGCCAGTGTAAGATCTGAGTGTTGTGTTCCAGAGTGTGTAGAGCCTACCCTAAGTGGCCTTGAGAGGTATGATTCCAACGTATGGGAAAAGTGATTTTGACTTAACTGACGAGCTGTAGCGGTTTTTAGAGAGCTGCGCAGTTCTCAAAGCTAGGGTAAGAATAGCCAGGGGAGCTGGTTAAACATGCAAATTCCAGACCTAGTAGATTAAACCCACGTTTCTGCACCAGGGGCTTCTGATGTTGGTCATCCCCAGACCAGACTTTGGGAAAATCTGCTCTAGACTCCGTTTCTTCTGTAAGTGGGATTGGACAACAGGTTTAGGAGGGAAGTTCCTTACTTCATGTGTTGGAAGGAGATTTATGTTGTATGCTGGGTTCAGAGGCTGCCAAATTGGCAGTATGCCATCTCCAGAAAACGAAGAGACAGACTTTCTCTCATTCTTTCCACGATGCCCAGATTTGGCTCTTGCCTTTAGGAAAGGGTTTAACTTAGTTCTTCCAAGATAATTGCAGTGTCCTGGAGTTTGTTATATTAGCGAGTTTATTGCTTCCATACATGTGAGGGTGTTGGGACACAGGGCTGTTTTCTGAAGTTCTGTGTTTGTCTTGGAATTTAGCTAGCCCTGGCGTGTAGGTCTCAGTAGCCTGGGTTCAGCTGAGTCAGGGCTCCAGTCTTTAGCAGCTGTAACAGCAGCCAAAGCCAGACTTAATATAAGCAGGAGGTCATTGCTATCTCCATCCTGGACCCTTCCTCTTTCCTCATGGGTGTGGGCAGGGAGGAAGGAGCCCTTGAGGAAACTAGAGGCCGTTTGTGGACTTTGCCTCTTGAGATAGCAGTGGTGAGGACAGTGTACAGATGGTTTCTCTCACCTAACGGATACCAGGCTTCACATAGGTTACATTATCCTATTAGGTTTATTGTGCAGGGGAAAAAGCTAAGACCATGAAGGTTTAGTTCCCAGCTTCTCCTCTTACTTGGAAATCCTGGTTTTAATTTGCTGGTGTAGGTGATTTTGGGGGTGGAGCGGGGGAGGTGCTGGTGCTTGTCAGCGTTCATCCAGTCTCTGTGTCCTTCGGTTATTGGTTCATAGTTGCAGTTTCTTTGGAGTTTATTGTAGCAGGTAAAATACATGAGACCTACCCAAGCCCATGTGTACTGGAGCCCGGCATTTGGGGCACTCTATAAACAGAGGTTCCCTGCTCCACTCTGTCAGAGTATGACAAACGTGGACCATGAATTGTAGCAATAGGAAGGGGTAGATGAACAGTGGAGACTGGTTGTCAGCTGCAGCTTTGACCAGCCTGTTGCAACATTGCACACTGGGTTCCTGAGAGTAATTTTTGGTGGCGTTAGATCTGGGCCTGAGACGTGGTTCAGCTTCCACTCTCTGGTTCAGCTTCCACTCTCGGGAGGCAACTCTGTAGTTTCTTTCTGTGCTAAGGAGTCGGCACCACTGAGGGAAGTGTAGCTGTTCACTCTACCTTCCCTTCTCTGGCACCGTTTAGGTAGGATGTGCCAGGTACTTGGAGACCCTTGCCTCATGCAGCTATTTACACTAATTGTGGTAGGAGCTGTATGTCTTATTCTTTTGCCACATGCCTCTGATACTGTTTCTATCATGCTGAAGAAAGTTCATTTTATGTTGACTGAATTCAGGTATTTGTTGCCAAGTTAATCCAGATAAGGGTTTGGCCTGCTTTTGAACTTGGTGTTTCTCTGTAGTGTCTTTGTAGTTCAGCATTCTTGTAACTGGCCTAGGGCACCTAGTGGCTTTTTCTTTCAGAGGCACTCCATAATATTTATTGAATTTCATTTCTGCCTTGAGGATAGCTAGTGCTCATCGGAGATACTTACAGCTTGGGAAAGGCTCTTTCAACTTGTGTGCTTCACCAGATGGTAGTACCACTGTGCTTCGGCAGTGCTCAACTTGGGGTTTTGGCATGCTGAACATTCTGGGTTCTTTTCAACTTGCTCATTGTGGGTTCCTCCTGACTGAGGAGGAAAAGACCTGAGAGCATAAAACTTGGCTTGGTTTTGGGAGAGGCTATTTCCTCTTAATAGAAAGATACCTGCTGAGCATTTGTATGACCTTGAAGAACACACTTTACCTCTCTGGGCCTTGTTTTCCTTTTTTAGTATAACCTATGATGCTTTAGAAATCAGTGGCCCTGAGTCTGAAAACTCTTCTGTCCAGAATGGGTTAAAGTGTCTCTTTTTCTGTGCTCAGTGACCTTTTACATGAAGTTACAACTAGGGCACATCATGATTCCAGAGGGGTAAAAAGGTGGCTTAGAGCCTGAGCCTATCAGATTACTAATTCTGTAAGCCTAAGGAAGACCCTTTTCTGGGCAGTCTTCCTTTTGGCTGGGGAGGGATTTGGCTTTGGGGAGATAAGAACTAAAAAGAGGATGAGAGTCACTGCTCCCTCCGATTTGCTGAAGGCCATGGGATTTGTTTCGGATTCTCTCCCTGTACTGTCACCTAAGAGGCAGGCTTCATCTGCAGGCCCACCAAGTAGCAGAATTTCATAGGTAGAGAATTTAAGTGGGTGGTAGCCCCCGTTTTACAGGTGAGAAAACACCTGGAGAAAATAATTTGTTCCAAATCCCATCATAGGTGGCAGAGCCAGGATTCAGATCCAGGCCTGTCTTACTGTAAAACTGGGGCTGAATTTTTCGAGCAGCCTGGCTCCTCCATTGTCCTGAACTAAGAATCTTAGCAGCAGACATAATGTAGGCCCTTTGGCCCCCTTCCTTTCTGGTTAACTGTCTGAACTATATTGTGCCAACTTCAGCAGTGTGCTGATTGTGTACACTTCACTGTATTTTAGAGAAATCTGTTTAGCTGTGAATACATAAAGTCTAAGGGGGAAAGAAAAAAATCCTTTTTCCTGCTGCGTCTCTTGGGACTTGGGCAAATGCAACTTTACATGTGGCACATCTCCTGGGAAAGCCACTTGGGCTTTAAAGGGAAAATATTTAAAGGTAATTCCAAGGTTGTTAAGTAGTTTTTATTCACATGGCTGAGTTTTCTTAGTTGTGAGACTAAGGCTGTTACAGATTACATTACTGTCAGTTTCTCACTTTTTCCACTCGGCAAGAAAAAAAAAGATTCCCCACACATGCACAAAATTTTCTGTGTATCTAAAAAGCAAATCTAGTTAATGTTCCAAATTTGTAAGGATCATGGTTCTCATGGAAGAAGGAAATTCTTAGAACTCAAGTGGAAGAGAAATAGCAGTCTTTTAATCTTTATGGGTTTGTGCCCTGGTGTAATGGTTTGAGCCTGGGAAAGAGCTGAGGTGTGTTGGCAGTACATCCTTTGTAGTGCTACTTAGCACCCTTCTTTGATTTCTTGAGAAGAAGTAAGAAGAAAAAAGTCTGAAGACAAAAGTGCAATGAGTTTCCCGTTGCATTGTCTCATCAGGTCCACCCGATGTCACGGCTAACTGTTCCCTTACAGGAACTGTCAACAGTTATGTTTATTTTTTTGAGGGCTTGACCTTAGCCACTGGCTCTTTTAGTTACTCTTTTACCTCCCTTGGAGATAAAAGATCCCCTTGGAGTTTTGTTGATTCAGAAGGTAAGGCTCCAGGGATGACTGCTCTTGGACATCTCCCAAAGGACCTAGGTGCCAAATATCTTCAGAGTCACTGTGTGAGATTGGAAGGTGGTCTTGAAATCTTAATTCCGGGCTGGAGGAGCGACTGGGCCTGTACCAAAATCATTACTAAGTCTGTAGTTTGGAAAGTAGATTTATGGAACACTGGAAAGCCTCATTGTGTTTACATGATAAAGGAATCAGAGAAGCTACTTTCGAAGGAGGAAGCATAGCTATTCATCTCTGGGGCTGGAGTGTGGTTGGTGTCTTATGTTTGAGGAAAGACCCCAGTCTAGTTTGTTATGGGGCGGGAGAAAAACATACATAGTCTTGTCTTCTACCAAGGCTGGGGAAGAGGGCTGGGGGCAATAGAGGTTTTCCGCTCTTCTGATACCCAAGATACGTAACTTTTTACCCTTTTTTTTTTTTTAAATGTAAGCTCTATGCTCAAAGTGGGGCTTGAATACTCATAACTCTGAGATCAAGAGCCACATGCTCGACCAACTGAGCCACCCAGGTGTCTTTTTACTTTTACCCTGCCTTATTCCTTGTCAGTCTATGAAATGGGAAAGGTGGCTCCCCAAGGACTTGGGCATCTTAGGCCAGAGGTGCCAGTAGGACCTTGGCAGATTTTTTCTTGCTAGGATGACTCTAGCCCTGTGGAGAGAATAGCAGTGCTTCACTGCTCTGCAGGCACCTCCTTTGTTGCTGTTTGTTCGTTCAGCAAATCATATTAAGTGCCTGTTTATGTGCCAGCCACCTTGTTAGGTGCTGGGGACACAGTAGGAACTTTTTTTCTTCTTTCGGTTTAACTGGGGGAATGTGCAAGAGAGAGTAGGCGAGGTTGAGTTTTGTGAGTTTGTGAGAATTAAGGTGCTTGCATGTAAAGGAAATTAGTATCACACCCTTCTTCTTATGAGCATGTTTCTCTTTACCAGCCTTGGAACTTTGTGAATGAAAATTATAAAAAGCAACTAAGTGGGTATCTTATTTGCAGTAAAGACAATGCAGAAATGACTTTCCTAACATAGCCTGTTTGTTTTAGACTCTTGAGCTTTTCTGAATGAAAAACAAACAAACAAAAAACCAAACTACACACATTCTCTGAACTTAATCATCTTGCAGAGTTCTTGCCCCCCCCCCCCCCGTTTTATGAGCTTTCTCTGAAGCTCCCCTTCTCAGGGAGCCAGGAACTGTAGCTATCGCCTTGTTTTCTTCCTGTCACTTTCTGTGCAGTTGAGGAAAGTCATTTTAACAGGCTTTTAAAAAGTTCTACTCTGAGGGTTAGGGAGCTGTCGGGGTGATTAGTGTTTGGTTTCTCTCACTTTACTCTTCCTTGGTAATGGCTCTCTAATTCTTGCCTTTGTGTCTGGTCTCTTTAGAGCCAGGCGGAGAGGGGGTGGCCCCTTCCCCTGTGAAGGTTACTAGCATTGCCCTGGAAATGGCTGGCAGTTCTGGGGTCTCTGCTTTTTGTGTGTGTCTTGCCTCTGATGTGGTTTCTCTTTGTTTTTTGTCCACAGCCTCTGACTATGGTATGAAACTGCCGATCCTGCGTTCCAACCCGGAGGACCAGATCCTATATCAAACAGAGCGGTACAATGAGGAGACTTTCGGCTACGAAGTGCCCATTAAGGAGGAGGGGGATTATGTGCTGGTGTTGAAATTTGCTGAGGTCTACTTTGCACAGTCCCAGCAGAAGGTGAGGCCTGGTCAGTGGGACATTGCCACTCTTGGATAGTCCCCTGCTATGGGCCAGAGAATGTAAGAGCCTCCCCAGAAGGGAGGAACAGGTGAGCTTTGAGGAAAAGCTGGATTCCTTCTGCCCCTAGAGAAGCAATGTCCCATTGCTCACAAGGCTGCACTTGCCTTGGGGGTTGGTGACAGAAGGCAATGCCAGACTCTTAGTTCTTGGCAACTAACTGATCCTGGTTGTCCTCCTTGGTTGTCAGCACCTTCTTGTTTTTAGCCTTATTCTTTTCCTGTCTCTTCTTGCGAATTTCCTTCTGTCCATGGTGAGCTTTTTGTATTCTTTGTTCCCTAAGGCCAGTATGAGACCTTGACAGTGAAAGAACATGACTTTGATTTAGCTCATGTAAAGAACTCGGTACTCTTGTCTATATCCAGCCCTGTCATTTTAAAAATTATTTCTGAACTTGAAGACCCGGGCAGGTACATGAAGTCCAGCTGCTAAAGGGGTATGAAGCTGATGGTTTTGACATTGTCTCTCTCTCTCTCTCTTTTTTTTTAAATCGTGGAAGGTATTTGATGTGCGATTGAATGGCCATGTCGTGGTGAAGGACTTGGATATCTTTGATCGTGTTGGGCACAGCACAGCTCATGATGAAATCATCCCTATGAGCATCAGAAAGGGGAAGCTGAGTGTCCAAGGGGAGGTGTCCACCTTCACAGGGAAACTCTACATCGAGTTTGTTAAGGTAATGCTCTCCCTCTGCCCTCCCCGCTGAGGAAATGTTTATTTATTTATTTTTTTAAGATTTTATTTATTTATTTGAGAGAGAGAGAATGAGAGATAGAGAGCACATGAGAGGGGGGAGGGTCAGAGGGAGAAGCAGACTCTCTGCAGAGCAGGGAGCCCGATGCGGGACTCGATCCCGGGACTCCAGGATCATGACCTGGGCCGAAGGCAGTTGCTTAACCAACTGAGCCACCCAGGTGCCCCAGGAAATGTTTAATAAAAGAATGGGTGCAGGGGGAATGTTCACTGCTGTGTGGTGCTGACCATGGTTTCCCATTTCCTAGGGGTACTATGACAATCCCAAAGTTTGTGCACTCTACATCATGGCTGGGACAGTGGATGGTAAGTGGCGTCTTTAACCTCCTTTTTTCCTTGGGCTGAAGGATATGGTTGAGGAAGCCCTTGGGGGAATAATTTAGCTCATCACTCTCGTGAGAACACTTAAAGCCAAATTGTGGGGAATCCAGAGCCAGACGGATGGGGATGAAGTGTAGCATGGTGCTGGCCATAAGCTTTGGAGTAAGGTCTGTGTTCAAATTTTGTTGCTGTCACTTAATCAGCTCTTTGGTTTTGGACAAATTCCTTTAACTTCACTGTAAATTTGGCTTAATAATGGTACCTACTGGTGTGCTCTAACCTTGGAGTCTTTGGAATTGCCTAGAACTTGGCCTTATTCTCTTTCTTTGACATCTGTTTACTGGGGGCAAAAAGGGAAAAGGCAAAAGGAGGAGGAGTCCGTTCGCATGTTGGTATGCTCTTAGAGCTCTAGCATTGCTGGGCTGCGCTGGACAAGAGTTTACTTAACCAATGTCTCCTTGTCCTTGGGATCCAGCCTTAGGGTGTATCGCTTTCTCAGCATTGTGATGATCCTACCCACCAGCTTCCCAGGCTGATTTTTTGCAGAGAAAGCTTGTGTCTAAGTGACTTTTCACCTCCATTCCACCTCTGTACATTTTCCCAACTCGTCCTGAATGCACCGGGGAGCTCATCCTGTTGTCGTGATGTGTCCCCAGATGCTGGTATTCTGACATCTAGGCAGATGTCTTGTCACAAAAACAGATTTGCAGCTTGATTCGCTAAGGAGGAGGCAGAGCAGAGGGGTAGTGGGTGCTGACAGCCCAAGGCTCTGCGGCTCAGCTTTTCCTCAGTTGCTTTGTGAATCAGAAGGGAATGTGGGATTGCGGAGGCTGCAGGAGGGATTTGAAAAGGTTAAGTTCAGGGTGTCGGGTCATTGTCTCTGTTCAGTCTGGTCCTCCTGCGGTTCTGAGAAGTAGGACAGGAAGAGGAGCTAGCGAACCTCCCTGGGCGCAGGGCTTGTACTGTGTTTTAGTTAAATCTAAAGAAGACTAGTGTTTGCAGCAATCTGCTGTTCTCTAGGCCAGGAGCTATTTCTGCTACTTCTCTTTTTTCCTGTGGACCCAGCTTAGGTCATAGCATCTCTTTATTGTAGCTCATTTACGGCTCTTAAGGGTCTCACTTAAATGCTGTGGATCTTACTTAACAGGTGTCTGTTTTCTTGTGTCAGATGTACCAAAGCTGCAGCCTCATCCAGGACTGGAGAAGAAAGAGGAGGAGGAAGAAGAAGAAGAATACGATGAAGGGTCTAATCTCAAAAGACAGACCAATAAGAATCGGGTGCAGTCAGGCCCCCGCACGCCCAACCCCTATGCCTCGGACAACAGCAGCCTCATGTTTCCCATCCTGGTGGCCTTCGGAGTCTTCATTCCAACCCTCTTCTGCCTCTGCCGGTTGTGAGAACAAATACCATCCTGAACTGGGTGGAAGGGTGAGGGAAAGAAACCAAACATGTTGGTTTTGGTTTCTGTATTTTTCACAGTGATTAACAAAAAAAAAAAAAAACAGACAAAAACCACACACAAAAATTAAAGGAGAAAAAAAGAGGCAAGAGTGGGTAGAGAGCAGCCCTCATCCACCACTGGTCCCAGCCCTGCTTCAGTCCTTGTGCTCTCTTTGTGGCTGGCCCCAGCCGTCTCTTTCCTCTCCAGGGTACTTAGGGCAAAGCGGATCCTACGTGTTCAAGGATCCTCGTCTGCACACCTAGTGGAAAGGACTCTGAACCCAGAGCAGACACAGTTCCTTTTTTTAGGTTAGAAATTAACAGCAGGGAAATGTCATCTTACTATCTGAGAAGACCAGTGCTGGGAGTTGGGTATGTTCTGAAGTGACGTCCAGATAAGTTTTCAGATGCCCTGGGATTGAAAGTGTGTGTGCTTTGTGTATGTGTGAAGGTGTATAATTTGTATGATAAAGATGAAAACAGAGGGGGATTAAACAAAAAAAGAAAGAAAAGTAGATACTTCCTTACTTGGAAGCCTTTCTGGTTTCAGCCTAATGATGGTTCCACCTTAAGTGTTTGCGCTTTGTCATTGCTTGTCTCCCTGACATGTGCCAGTTAGAGGACTGTCTGGTATCCAAGACAAATAGTTTATGTCAGGTCCTCAAGTTGCCTCTGACTTGTTACCACAACAAATCATTTTAATTTCAGTGCCTGTTGGGGACTTGATTTCCTCTCATTTTTCCCCCCTTAATCTGGCTCATTTGAAATCTCTTCTCTCTCTCCCAGTCATCCTGCTAAGTTATTGCCAAGAAGGGAAGGAGACATGGGGATTTGGGGTTCCCTTTGCTTATATGTCTTATCCTCTACCACCTCACCTTGTTGGTACTTCCCTCCCTGGATCTCTGAGCCAGCAGCCAGGAGGACCTGACCCAGCAGTTCTTTTACTGGCCCCTCTGTAGGGTCTTGCTGCCAGGGGACAGGGATGCTTTCCAGCCTGCAGCAACAGAACACTTGACCTTAAAAGTCTCTTCTGGTCTTTGGATTAGAAAAGGCTTATGTTAGCATAACTTAAGAGCCACCTCAGAGACTTGAGCCCTACTAAGTGACTGACCCCTATTTAGAGTGTCTAGTATCTGATGTTCATTTTTTCCCATCTTGCGTCTGTGGCACAAGTCAACCAGTTTTGGTTTATGCCCAGGGCTGCCCCACAGAACTAGACTGATTGTTTGTATCTGGCCCAGGGGTGCCTCTCACTGATCTTAATAGTATGCCCCTCTGCCCTTTCATCTCCCTATCCAAGTTACAGTTGAGTTCTTGGTGTGACGGGTCTGAAAGATTTCCAGTCAGCCATAGTCCTGGCAGCTCTGAAGCCAACCTTAGCATCTAAGTGTGTGTCTTAAATTCCCTGGAAAAACTTCTGCAGGAAATGAAGCTTCCCTGTTCTCTTCCTTTCTGGTCACTGTTCTCCTTTTCCCAGTTAGGGCAGCAATGAGGGAGGACCCAGCCAAGCTACAAGGAATTTTGTGGATGGAAGGCAACAGGATTAGCTTCTGCTTGCCCTGGAGCAGCGTAGAATCTCAGACAAGGCTCATCATTTTAGAATGTGTTTAATTTTGTCTTTTATTTTTTTTTAATGTTTTAAAGAGCTCCATATATTTGAACTGTTCGTTATGTGACAAAGTAAGTAGGCTTTGGGCTCATGTCCTGGGTTTTGACTCTTGATGAGTTACTCTGGGCCAGCATTTAGTCCTTTGAGAGTTGGAGCCCTTTATTTTAGCTGTGACTTAGGCCTCAGTAGTAGGGTATTGAGTCAGGCATCTGGATGGCTGTGGCCTGAGGCCGCAGTAAGAGGAATACTTCTGGAGTGCTTCACAAAGCTCCCTGCTTTAAAGGATGGCATCCTATGGCCTTGGTCCTGGGGACCCCCTGCCTGGGGCAGTGGACATCCTGACTGTTGATTGGGCTTCTGACAGTGGCTTCAGTTCGTCTTCCATCAGAAGTTCCCACAGCTGTAGGCCACTGCCAGTGAAGTAGACAAGATGAGGAAGGAGGATGTGCTGCCTCCATTTTGCCTTGTTTGTTAGTTTGCCTGGGTCTCTGAGGAAGGAGGGATCCCGCCTCCTCACCTCAACCCATCTCTTCAGTGACTCAGAGTCTCAGAAGGAAACCCTGGCTCCTGGGGCCATTTCCTAATGGTACTGTAAGCCAAGCAGCTTTGCTTCCAAGCCCACCCCTGTTTCCAAGCCCACTTCTTTCCCCTGAGCTCAGGGATAGGGATGGGCATTTTCCTCTGCTTGTGTCCGAAAGGAAGGAACATCCTTCTATGGCTCACAAAAACTAAAGGAGAAGTGAGGAAACAGGACGAAGTATGGTGGGGGCCCGGGTAGAGTCCCCTGGAGCCAAGCCCACCCAGCTAACAGAGCTGCCCAGGGCCGGTCACAGCTGGCCCAGGATGCTGAACTTGAAAGCTTGTTTTTTGTTTTTGTTTTTATTTTTTTTGGCTCCTCCAAGATGATATAGGTACATGAAGTTTAGGTTAAAGGGGTGGGGTGGGGCACTCTGTATTTTTATTTTTGTATTGTGTGTGTCACAAATTACTCTGTTCATCGTTTGCTTTTTGCACTGTTTGTTCCCCTGCCTATATTTTGAGCTAGTGCGAGGACCAGGCAGCCATGCTGCCGGGAGTCTATCTGGGGTTGGGGAGGTGATGAGGGATGCCACTGAGACCTGGGGAAAGGGATATCTGGGCACTTGTACTGGATCCATGCTCCCCTAGGTTTTTAGATTTCCCTGACCCCAGCTGGCCAAAGTCAAGAATAGATGGCCAAGATGAAACTCCTTTTTTGGTTCAGTTTCTGGGTAGACCACACAAAGATGTCTGCTGGGGATGGGCTGAGAATCTGCAGCCTAGCTCTGATTTGGGTCAGGGGCCAGGTGGCCGTTGTGGGTTTTACTCACGCTGACTGAAATGTTGTGCCAGGAAATAATCTGTGGGACCCATGTTTCCTCACTTCTCCCTAAACCAGGTCCATTTTCCCACAAAGTCTCCATTATGGAGGAGAAGCTGCTCAGTGGATATCTTGAATTCTGGTGACTTGAAAGATGGTTCTCCTCACGTATCAGTGGGGTCAGACTCCCGGGGGGACCATAGGGCCTACAGGGCCACCGGCGGGTTTGAGAGTGTGACCTTGTTCTCTTTTTCCCACTGTTTGCCTAAGAGATACTGGCCTGAAATTGGGGGATCACATTAGAGGTCAATTAGACTTTGAAGAGCTGAGGTGAAGTTTAGGTTTACCTCCCCCTTTCTGTGCCTGGAAACTGTTTAATCCAGTTTCAGAATTGTGTTTTGACTTCTTTATCTTTTTGGAGAAGCTTCTGTTTTAAGGAATTTCTCTTCCTTCTTATCCTGCCTCTACTTTCTCCTGAGAAGGCCTGGCCATGGCTTCTAGAATCTCAGTTGAACTTCAGAAAACAGCAGCAGTATTTTCCCTTTCCTAGCAGGTATACTCCTTTCTCTAGAAATTGGCTCACCTTGGGAAAGCCCAGGGAAAGAGTCCACAAATTCTCTACCCTCCCTGGAGATTGGGGCAGGACCCACCCCCGGTCAGCACAGTGCCTTTTCCTCTCCTGCTCTGAGCCAGGGTGGGCATTCCCTCTAGATTCAGGTCTGGGCAGGGGTCTTACAGTCCCTGCCATGGGGCTGCTTCCCCATCCCTCTCTCTCCTTCCCCTTTGCTGGCCGGCTCTGACCTAATTCAAGTGTCTTCTTGCCTCGAGGAGCCTTAATGGCATCAAGTGGCAACATGTAGTATTGTCCTCCATGCCTCTCCAAAGGGCCTAGGAGAGCAGGTGAGCTTTCCAAACTGAGAGACTAACAGATGCTCCTGTTCAAAAAGGAAGGAGGAGGAGATGCTTTGGGCCTCCTCCTGCTGCGGCCCTGGGGAAGGAGCCTGGGGTAAGGCTAAGTGATAGTGCAGAAGCAGAACCAGAAACACCTGGGATGTGTTCAGAAATCTTAGAAGTCTGCTTCTCTTCTATGGAAAGATCTAATTAGGGTTCAAAGAGCTCTAAGAAAATTGCAAAGAAACCTTAATGTTCAAGCTTCAGAGAGATCAGAGTAATTTCTCCCTATCCATCCGAGCTCGGACTCTTTGTGTATTTAGACCTCTCCTGGGGCAAGAGGGCTAGGTTTCCTCATTTTATTATGAGACCAGATTGGCATCAGTGGGTCAGCTGCCCAGCTAGGGCGGGTTTCTTTGTACAAGGGTGGCTTGCTGCCGATCTAGTTTGTCCTTCCCCAGCTGCCTTTTGGCTAGCCTGCCTTTGGTTGCCAAATCATTCTGATAAGAGCAGGTGATTTGGGGACTGGCTGGGTTGGCAGGAAAAAAGCAGGATGGATCTCTTGGGATGGTCCCCTTCCACCCCCCCATCCCCCCAGGAGTATAAAAACAAGGAGCCAGGATTGTGCTGGCAGCCAGGGAAACAGTAGTCCTGTTAGAGTTGGCAGGGAGGGCCCTGGCACCTCTCACATCCATGCAGGCTTGTGAGATGGGGGCACATAGCACCAGGAGAAGCAGAACTTCATTCTCACCTCTATTTTGAGCTTCAGTGCTTTATTTCAATATGAGGGAAAACAACAACAAACTGAAGTGTGCTTTCCGTCCTTTCAAAGGACAACTGTCGGGAAAGGAGAGTGGAGTTGCCAGGTGGGAGGGGAGAATTGGCAGGGAGATCTTCACGGCAAACCAGGAATGAGGCATTCTTGACTCTTCTCTTCCCTGGTGTGTCATGATCCAGGGAATGAAAAGAAATTTGACCCTGGATTAGTCCCCTCCTTGGATTTTCCTTCCACCATGTTCTCACACGCTAGGACCAGCTGCCCATTCTGAGCTCAGAGCAGCCTCTTCAACCATTATCGGCCTAACGTGGCTTGTCAGGAAACCCACCCCGCCCCTCCAGATTGGGCCTGGCTGCTCTATTCTGTACCAAGTACTGGAGAATGGTGTCAAGTTCGTAGTAGCCCTGGTAGCTCCTAGATTCCCATCCTCTCCCTGCGGAAGTCAAACCAACTCTTTGTCTGTAGCCACAACATGCATTTACAGCAGCACAGTGAGGGGCTTTGAACCTGGCTGGCCCGGGAAAGCAGTAGGGGTGGATAGAGCTGTCTTTCCTCCTGGGCTGTCTCCATCTGTCCCCACCCTTTACATGCCCCATCCTACTCCCGCCAAAAAGTAAAAAAATCAGGATGTTTTTCACTGTCCATTGCTTTGTGTTTTAATAAACAATTTGCAGTGACACTCTGTTGAGATTGAGTTTGAACTTGATTGCAAAGAGGTGAAGTGATGGGGTGGGAAAAGGGAGACCCCGGGGGCTCACTTGGCCGCGAAGGGCTCTCCTGTGACAAGACTAGGGCTTTTGTCCATTTTAGCCGGGATGTTTGTTTAATGGAATGAAGTTCTGTAAAACTCTGCCTGGCCATTTCAGCCAGCAGTGCATTCAAGGAAAAATAAACAGTT